GTCAGTTCCCATCTCCCTGGGACCTCTTGTCCCTGGAGTATGGAAGAATGTCATCTCTTGGGTACTCCTTTGGGCTCTGAGTCTTCCGGGACATAATTTCTCTCTCTAGAAATGGTTTAGCGTTTTTTCACTGACTGAAAGATGGACCTAGATTTCTTTCAAAGTCGTATTTCCAGGAAACATACGTGTCTGGGGATTGTAATGGACTGGGATTGGGGGCTAGTAAAGCCTTTTTCCAAGCCACCGCTTTCTGGAAGGGGACTTCACGAACCCCAAAGCGGAGAAGAATCCTGGAATGCTAACCCTGAAATCTAGGGTTAAAGCCCTATATTTCATTGATCGCCTGATTCCCTTTCACGCAAGTTGCCGTGAATATGAGGATATAATGAGACAAAAAAAAAAAAAAAAAGTAAAACAGGCGCGTGGTAGTTGCGTTCTCGGAAAACGGCATCTTTTTTCCTTCCTTCTCCGGGCCTCAGTTTTCCCAGCTACATCATCTAAACCTGCGGGCACCCTCTGTTCCTCCCAGCCAACCCCTTCCCAGGCTCCCGTCCCACTGCGCGGGGTTTCGGCCGCCAGAGGGCGACAAAAGGCCGACTCCGCAGCAAGATATTATACATGCGCAGTCAGAGAGGCCCCCCCCTCCCGTCTATGCACGCCCTGCGTACGTCACTTCCGGCGCGAGAGCCGGCCGGCCGGGCTGGGAGTGCGGGTCGGTTTTGCGTGCGCTGCCGGACGAGGCTCCAGCCGCCGTTGACCCGCGCTCCGCCCCGTTGCCGGGCCGGTGAGTGCCCCGAGTCTGTCCGTGTGACCTGGGCCGGGGAGAGGACGCCTGAGAGGGAGGGATAACCGGAAGTGGGCGCCCCGAGGAGAGAGACCCCAGGAAATGGGGGCACCTGGGGAAGGGGTGACAACCGGAAGTGGGGGGCCTCGAAAGACTGCAGACGGGAGTAGAGTCTCTGGGGCTCCAGGAGCGATGGCATCCTGTCCTCCCCTTGTTTGGGTGGCGTGGGGAGGAAGGTGATGCTCACAGAATGATGGACTCCAGGTGAGGAAGATGCACGGCTCCACCCTAAGGCATGGCGTTTGCACCCCTCCCTATGTCACCCGTCAGTTCATTCACAGGCTGTGACTGAGCGCTGCTCTGTGCTTGACGCTGCCGAGACCCTGGAGATAACCGGGGAGCCCCAGCTGGAGCATAGGGGCCAGTGTGGGGCCAGACACATCCTTCTTTGCCTTACTGGCCTTGTACCTCTGGGCACGTCGCTTAATCTCACATCATCCGCTAGTAGTTGCTGAGTACCGTGGTGTGCCAGGCGCTGGGGGTAGCAGTGAACGTGCCAGGCACATTGTCTGCCTCCATGGAATCTACATTCTAGTGGGCAGTGTCCTCGTTTGTACAGGGGAACAGTAATAGAGCTGTCACCAAATATGTGAAGATGAAATGAGAGACAGATGTAAGAAGCTTATCATCATGCTCGATGCATAATAAAACGATCAAGTGCCTGTTAGCTCTTAATTATTCCACTGTGAGTTAAGCTTCCTAAGGCAAAGAATTATATTGTTCGCTGTTTATGCCCAGTGTCTATGAGCGTGGTGCCTGATGCATGTGGTAGGTGATCAGTAATTATTAGGTAGTGAATGGATGGTGCAGCTGACTCTGAAGAGTTTTCATGCAAATACCAATAATATTGGACTGCCGTTTTTGAAAGAGATAGGTGCTGTGGAAAACTGGAGGGAATCACCCTGGGGAATCAGGGAAGGCTTCAAAGAGGAGGTGATGGTGGAGCTGGGTATGGAAGGTGACGAGTTGTCTGGTTGGAACAAACAAGGAGAGGGAGTTCCAGGCAGAGGTATCATAATGCATGAGGTATCCCAAGAATGGTGGGTCATTAATTTGTTTTGACTGGCATTTAGTGTGCTTTGGGTGAGGGGGGGAGTAGGGCAGAGACTGGAGAAGGACTTGGAGGCTAAAACATGGGCGTTACGGTCTTTCTCCTTGGTGAACACTGAATTGGAATTACAGGCATCATTGGTAACTCCCGTGGAAACAGAGCCCAGGGTGGATCTTTTGAATCTTTGTTCCATTCCTTGCCCAGCATTCCTTTGCCAAGCAGATTAAACTCATTCAACAAACATTTACAGAGCTCAGACTATGTGCTTGGCACCCTGCTAGGTGCTGGGTTTAAGGTGATGAGCAAGGCAGATGGGAATGTTGCCCACAAATTGCCTACAATACAGCCAAATGGGAGAAGCACTGTGTCAAAGGGCTCCCGTGGGGAAGGACCCTCACCCAGCCTGGAGTTGGGAAGGCCTCCTGCTGTAAGCACCGTCACCTCCATCTGGATCATGTAGAAGCTTCTAAATGGCTTCTACACTTCTATACTCATCCTCTCAAAGTCCACTCACAAGACAGTGGAGTAACCCTTTTAAAATATAAATGGTCACATCACTCTACCCAGAATCCCCCCATGGCTCCCACCAAATTGAAAGTCAGATTTCTCATTGGCATACAAAGCTCTGTATCAACGGGTGCCTCTCTAAATGCATCTGCCAACACTCTCCACCTTACTCACTTGGCTCTAGTCACACTGGCCTCCTCACTGTTCCTCAAAAAGCCAGGCATGTTCCTGCCTCAGGCTTTGCACTTGCTCCCCAGATACCAGCGTGGCTTGTTCCATTGTCACTTGGGCGAGGCCATCTCTGACCGCCCAGTTACAGTTGCAACTCTTGTCCCCAACACATTCAGACCCCTTCCCTGCTTTATCTCTCTCCATAGTACCGATCTGGTAGTTGACTATATAGTTTATTTTGCATATAGTCCTTCCTTCTGCCACCGGTACCCAAATTCAATGAAGGAGGGACTTTTTATTCACTGCTGTCTCCCCAGTGCCTGGAAGTGGGCCTGGTACATAGTAAATGCTCAATATTTGTTGAGTGAATGAAGTGGCATCTAATTAGGACATAAGGGTGAATCAGGTGATGTATTGGAGGAAGAGCATGTGGGAGGAAATAGGAGGTGTACAAGACAGGAAAACACCTTTGAGGAAGTGAAAGAAACTGGGTAGGGCTAGAGGAGGGGTTTCAAACCCGTTTTCACTGGGGGCCCCATCAGTCTCGCGATTGCCTTCAAAGGGCCGAATGTAATTTTAGGACTGTGTAAATGTAACTACTTCACAGTTAAGCAAGAGCTCAGCGCTGCCACTGGGTAGAAACAAGGTGCCAGGCTGGATAAAACCAGGTGGAGGGCTGGATTCCGCCTGCAGGCCTTGTGTTTGCCTCCTGTGGACTAGAGGTTAGAATGTAAGGAGTGGGGTGGGCAGACCTAAGGCTTAGGGGAAGTGACCTGGTCACAACGGCTGCCGTAGACTTGGGGGGAGACTGACCCTGTGCAGAGACCCTTGAGGTGATTCCTGCCTTCCTTGCTGAGCTCTGAGTGGGGGTTCAGTGGCAGCCCATGGGCAGGAGCTTGGGCTATGGAACAGGACAGCCCTGCCTCTGGTTTGTTACTGGACTGTGGAAGGCAGCTGTTTCGTGTTTGTTTTCCATTCAGTAAGTGTGCTGGCTCAGTCTTCTGAGAAGCAGATGTTAGGATGAGATTACAGATGCAAGAAATCTATCGGTGGCAACACCCATGGAGCATAAAGGGAGAGGGGCGGGCCCCTGGGAAGGTGGTTTGGGCAGGAAGTGTCAGGCTGCTGTGCGGGTCCATGAAGGGTTTGGCTGCCTGGCCAGGCTGACGGGGAGCCCCCGAGGCAGAGCTGCCTGTTGGAGGAGTCAGTATGTCAGCCACCGGCTGGGGGTAGTCTGTGCAAAGTGGCATCCAGTGCATGGTGGATCCAGAGGGCAGAGCTGGGGCCCTCCGTCAGATGTGCTTCACACCAGCAGGGGACCTGGTGAGCTCAGTGTCACTGCCACCATGATAAGTCACATTGCGTATGGTAAAAAACAAAACAAAATAAAAAACAGTAAAACGTCTCTCCCACCTTAAATACCCAGTTCTTCAGTTCTGCTCCCTGGGAACTTTTTTAAAATTTAATTTATTTATCTTTAGAGGGGAAGGGAAGGAGAGAGGGAGAGAAATACCAATGTATGGTTGCCTCTCATGCATCCCCTGCTGGGGACTGGCCTGCAACCCAGGCATGTGCCCTGACTGGGAATCAAACTGCGATCCTTTGGTTCGAAGGCTAGCGCTCAGTCCACTGAGCTACACCAGCCAGGGCTCCCTGGGAACTTTTGGCAACAGTTCCTATCTCTCCTTTCAGAAATTTTAGGTGCATTTGCAAGTGTATAAATGTATATGTTTTTAAAATGTAAACATGATTATTTTATGTACACTGCTCTGCATCCTGCTTTTTTCCCTATAGCATGTCAATTTACAAAGTTCTGTCTAATTCCATTTCATGGCTAAATACTATTCCATGCCTGTGGCGCTACGATTTAACCAGTCTCCAACTGGAATGGAGTTAAAGTGTTTTCAGTCTTTTGGCGTTATAATCAATTCTCGTGATGATTATTCTTCCGTGTATACTTTGTCCACACGTATAAGTGTATGTTCTGGAAATGGAATGCTGAGGCAGAGGGTGTGTGGTTTTAAGTTTTGGTAGGTAGTGACAAACTGCCATCTAACGAGGCTGTCTAGTTTATTCTCCCAACAGCAGGCACATCGTTATCTGCATTCACGTTTCTTTAACTATGAGCAAGGTCAAACACCCATCCGCACATCGTGCGCAAGGCCACGGTGTTTGATGAGGAGCCGTGTGCGCCCTGCTGCTGGTGCCTGGGCGCCGCGGGGGAGATTCTAACTTCATTTGGTCTGGGGTCTCGGACCTGGGAGTGTGATTCAGATCCAGGTCACCCCTCCCCCGAGTTGGGAGCCACTGCTCTGAGGTTCCTGGGCTTACCAAAAATGTTCCTGTCGCCTTGCACTGGGGGCCCTGGGATTTGCAATGACCAGTGCTGCGCTTTATTAACTTCCTGTGGGGCTTCTGTTTTGACAGGGATCCTGGTCGCTAATGTCAGAAGAAAGTGACTCTCTGAGAACCAGCCCTTCTGCGGCTTCACTTTCTGAAAATGAGCTTCAGCCCGCCCCCGAGCTTCCCGGCTACGTGTGCTCGCTGACGGAAGAGCTGGTCACCAAGGCCAGGGAGGAGCTGCAGGAGAAGCCAGAATGGAGGCTTCGAGATGTCCAGGCCCTCCGGGACATGGTGCGGAAGGAGTGCCCGAACCTGAGCACCTCCCTGGACGACGCCTTCCTGCTGCGCTTCCTCCGAGCCCGCAAGTTCGATTATGACCGGGCCCTGCAGCTCCTGATCAACTACCACAGCTGCAGGGGGAGCTGGCCCGAAGTCTTCAATAACCTGAAGCCCTCGGCCTTAAAAGATGTGCTGGCTTCCGGATTCCTCACCGTGCTGCCCCACACTGACCCCCGGGGCTGTCACATCCTCTGCATCCGCCCAGGTATCAACCCTGGGCCCTGGCGGGCGCGGGCCTACAGCCTCAGCTGGCGTTGTGTCCTGCACCTCCTCTCCTTTTCCCTCTTGTCCCCTCCCTGTTTTCGGCAAGGCTTTTTTGGTGGCAGATGACAAAACCCTACTCACCCTGGCTTAAGGAAAAAGGGCGGAGTTGGTCTGGGGAGACAGGAGCATCTCCCATTCGCAGCTCGCCCTGGGCCCTGGAACCAGACCCCAGTGCAGTCCCCCTGGGCACTGAGCCGGCCTCTCTCCCTGCCTCTGCCTCTGCCTCTGCCTCTGCCTCTGCCTCTGCCTCTGCCTCTGCCTCTGCCTCTGCAGGTCTCGAGTCTGCATGTCTCTGGGCCACACATGTCTGCTGCCCCTGGCGTGTCATCTCCACTCTTCTCTCTGTGGCCTGGCTTTTGCTGCCTCTGTGCATGCGCCTAGACCGGGCACCTCAGCTCCCAGGTTTGCCTGGGCACCGCACTAAGTTCCTTCAATGCAAATTCCAGATTTCTAGGGTTGAGACTCTGGCGGGCTGAGAAAGCTGCCCTGGTCACTGGGCATAAGCAGGGCGGCCCAGCCCCTGGCCCCCGGCCCTGCCCTCCCTTGTGAGCCGGGGAGGTGCAGATACCAGTGTGGGTTGGCAGTGCCCGGAAAGGTGTCATCTACCCCGTGCCTCCGCCTGGCTTTCCCTCCCTCCCTCTGCTTTGTCCAGCCCTTGAAAGGTTCACTTCAGGTTCGCTTTTTGATCTCAGCACTTTGTGATCATAATCAGGACACCTTGAGTTTCTTTGGCACAGTAGGTTTCAGTTGGTGGCAGCTCCCTGCCCCTCACCTCCCCAGAAGCATTTAGAAATGTGCAGAGACGTGTTTAGCTGACAGCACAACTAGGGGACACTAGAGCTCAAGCCTTCTCAGTCTTCCCTCTGATGTCTTCTGTGACACCAAATGCACGATAGACTCGGGTGTTTTCCTCCCTACCCCCAGCTGCACCATTGTCCCCCCAGGCCAGAGCTGAGACCAAATTCGAAAGTGAGATTACAGTGTTCTTCCCACCAAGCCAGGGAGGTGCGGACTTGCTGGCAGGCTGTCCTCTCTGCTCATGGGCACAGACGCCTCTGAAGGGACTTCTTAAAGGAAGGACTCCTCTTCCTTTAAGACCCACGTCGCCATTTCTGTTTGTCACTTACTGAACCCTTTTTGGAGACAAAACCATTGTCTTGAGCCTGTCCTGTGACCCAGGCACAGTGTTAACCAACCAACTGCTTTCTCTGCTGTTTCAGGCACTTTCCAGAATGAGAGGTGCTTATTTTTAAATTGACATAAGCCACACGCAGTGGAGATTTCAGGGCACCAGGAAACATTGAAACCCAGTCAGGGGGTTTTCTGCAGCCTCTTTGTACTCAACCGACAAGAGTATGATGCAACAGTCAGCTGTTACCACACTGATTTCACCTCTTGTGTGGCTCAACCCTTTGCTTGTAAGATGAGTTTTTTCCTTGTACATCTGGGGTGGATCTAGACCCCTACCCACCAACCCAACCTTTTAGGAGGCGGCAGACAGAGAAGGTTTTGTTCTCAACTGGGCATTGGCTTTGCCTTTTTAGAAGCTCTTCTGAGACATCTGCGATTGAAAAGGATGACAGCCAGTGATGGAGAAGCAGTTTTAATTGGCAGCAACATTAACCAGCAAGCTGGCACGACTTTTGGACAAAGATTTCTTCGTAGGAATTTTGTGCATATTACACATCCCATTGGCAGTGATTGGCGATCATGTGGAGCTTTATCTTTCTGACAAAGGGTCACAGGAGTCTTGGTGGGATTTTCTTGAGAATAGTGGGTAATAGTCAAAAGTTGTCATTTTTCATCATTTTCCCAAAGGAAGGGAAGACTCCTCAACCCTGTGGGGAGAAAAAGGAGCATCGGCCTGGGAAGGGAATTTGCTCAAACTACGGTATTAGAAAGCCGCCTCCCTCTCCGTTGTCCTTGGCGTGGGCTTCCTTCTCAGACCAGCTGTTGTCCCGTGGGGCCCCTGCGTCTCAGGCTCCCACCCTCACCATTCCAAGAGCAAAGAGTGATCTGCTCTTTCCACAGGGCCGGGGTCCCGGAATTGAGTCCCCTTGGCTCGTTTGAACTAGCTTGGGTCACACTGTTTGGCTGGGCGGATGTAAGACCTGGTGTGGCCAGACCCACGTCTAGAGCCAGGAGTCAGTTCAGCTGGGTCCAAACTGCATGGCCAGCCTAGGAAGAGGTGGTCCCCCAGGAAAAATCAGGGTGTGGTTATGAAGACACATCTGGTGGCAGGAGGCACAGATGTCCCTTAAGATGAGTCCTACTGTCCCATTCTACTTGTGAGGTGGGGTAGGCTCAGAGTAAGGAAGTAACTCACTCAGCGTCTGACTTCAGGGTTCACACTTGATTTCCACACTCAGTTGCTTTTGCATTTCAGAATGTGCTGCTGTGCTCACAGTTAAGAAATGTCAGCTGCTGCTGAAGGTGTCTGATTTCCCAACCTAGGCAGAGCCATGCCAGTAGCATAGCTTGCTTTTCCTTTCCAAACATCAGCTTTAGCATGGAGATGAGTTTTAGCCTGTCTGACTGTATTTATTTCTGTAACACACCGATCATCTCTTAGACAGGTGGATACCGAGCAACTATCCAATTACCGAAAACATCCGGGCTGTGTACTTGACATTAGAAAAACTCATTCAGTCTGAAGAAACCCAAGTGAATGGAATTGTGATCCTTGCAGACTACAAAGGAGTGAGCTTATCAAAAGCATCTCACTTTGGCCCTTTTATAGCCAAAAAGGTGATCGGCATCCTTCAGGTATGGCTCCCGTGTGTTACGCGCCTGCTCTGTGGTGGTTTGGCCTTCCTGGGGCTCTGTCCAGTTCCCCGTGTGGTGTGCGCACTTCCTTCCCACTCCTGCAGCACGAAGAATGCAGAAGCATCGTGAGAGATGTAAAAGTCTGTTTGCCACGCATCCCATGGGGTCCTCCCATCGTTTCTGAGGTACCTGCAGTCAGGCAAAATCAGCTTTCGGGCAACAGTCCAAAAGCCAGAGAAATGCTTTCTGCTTTTTTTTTTTAATTGAGAAGGCAGAGGAGAAATTCTAGCAAATGAAGCGGAGAAGTTGTGCTTCTGCCCAAGGCAGTGGAGCCTGTCCCGCCGCCTGTGGGACTGGGGACGTGGAGCCCTGTCGGGCTGCTGGGCCAGACGCGTTCACCCTTCAGGGTCCGTGTCTCAGAACACAAGTCACGGAGAACCATCAAGTTCGTCACGTATTTTCACTGCATGTAACAGTTCACAGCACACTTTTGTAGTCATCCTACCCATTCAGTCCTTCGAGGAATCTTTCAAGACAGATGAGTCAAGGCTCATGTCTCCTTTTTGGTAGATGGGAAAACCGAGACCTAGAGGATGCAGTCTGGTCCAGGTCTCCAGCAGGCTCAACTCCCAGTTCATTCTGACCCAGCCCGTGGGGCGCTGTCCCCTGTGGGGCACCAGAGCAGGAACAGTTCCCAGTGAGCTGGAGCCCCTGCTGCACCCTGGGCTGATTATTTTAACTTCAAGGTCACGTGTGGTTGTTATCAGAAATTTGAACTCTGGCTTTGAGGCAGTACTCTGGCTTTCCTTAGCTGCTTCTCTTTGATGCTTCCTGCTAAATCCCATGTAGATTCAAGGGTCAGTATAATGAGTTTGGGTCACTGTTTCCTAGTCCCGTAAGGGAGACAAATTCCGGGGTAAGTCAGCCTGGGAAATAAGGTAAAGCAAGTTCCTTCCTTGTGCATTTCACTGCAAACATTTGTGCATTAAAGCTGTTGAACCTGTTTGACTATATTGAGTCTACTGCTCACACTTACTCAACTACCACGGAGCCCTTTTTTGCATCACACCGCGCAGCTTCCTGAGACACACACTGGGCAGCACTGGGCCGGCGGGTGTGGTGCCTCTAGACCCACCCACTCGGGCTCAGTCCGTTCATTCTGCCACGGGAGGAGCAGCTCTCTGCTACTGTGCCTGGCTCCCTCCTTCCCCAGCTCTGGGTCCCAAGAGGGACTCCTTCCCCGAGGCTTGCCTTCCTGCTTAGCACGGACTTGGGTTTCTCTGAGGAGGGTGTGAGAGCCAGACTGATACTGGGGCTGAAATGAAGATTTCACTGGGGGAGGGAGGCAGGCTGTGGTCACAGACACTTTGCAAAATACCCTGTGTGTTCTGACATCCCCTTTCCCTCCCCCACAGGACGGGTTCCCCATTCGGATAAAAGCAGTCCACGTGGTGAATGAACCTCGGATATTTAAAGGCATTTTTGCCATCATAAAACCATTTCTGAAGGAGAAAATAGCAAACAGAGTAAGTGGCGATCCTATTGATTTAAGTACTTTACCTTTTTTTATTGCTCCCTTATTTGTGACATTGTCAGTGAAGTTATTTTAGTTTATTATTATTTTTCTTGGGACTGTTCACCTGGAAAGAGCAATAAACAGTCCTTCCCGTGAGGGGAGATGGAGTGAGAATGTGGTATTTCACAGTAGCAAGAGCAGAGCCAGGGCCGTCGTCCGAAGGGCTCTGTGATCGTGCAGACTTTGCTGTACCCTGGGCGGGGCGTCACCCACCAACACTGCCTTTCACATGGGAAAGGGTGGTCATTGGGTGGGCAGTTATGAAGAGGTACAGAAATGTCTCACTGCGGCTCCTTGGGTTTCAAAATGCTATTTAAGCCTTTCCGTGGACCTACCTTGTTTTCTCGCTGTGTAAAGTTTGGGCACTAATTCAAGGTTTATGAGACTTGTGAGTTTTTAGCTTGATTTTTATTGAGAGAGGATGGGTGACACCTGAAAAACCAGAAGAGCCGCTTCTCTCGGCCTTTCCCGCACCATGACTGAAATGGGAGGGTGGTTTTCCTCCTCCTTCCCTGGGCCTGCCAATGGTGATCACTCCAAAGACTGGGTCTTGAATTTCATCATTTGCTTTTCAAAGAGGAAGAGCAGAAAGATAGAGAATCTTAAGATTGCAAGGGAGGGAACGTAAAAATGCAGGCCCCCCAGCCTTTTCCCTGAAGGCTTTAATCCATTAGACCAGGGGCGAAACCCAAAGTCTGTGCTTTGAACATCTCCTAGGCGTGTCTGCTGCAGCCGGGTTTGGGAACCGCTGACCCAGTGGCTTCCGTGCCGGGGTTTGAGCCGGTGTCGGTTTTTGAAGATCCTATTTGGAGCCTGCTTTTCCCAAAGCAGCCTCTGGATCGGGTCTTTTACATCTGTGAAATGACCCTGTTTGTGGCCCACAATCTTGTTCCTTTGGTCCTTCATATGTTCATTCATTCACTCATTCATTCAAAAATATTGATCTATTGATCACCAACTACGTGCAAGTATGCTCTGGATGAACACAATAGACCGAAACCTGCGCCCCCAGGAAGCTTACGCTCAAGGGAGATGGAGACAGCAGATGCACGTGAGCCAGTATTAGAACCTGGTGAGCACAGCGGAGTCAGAGAAGGCAGCGGAGGGGAGAGTGAGTGTGGGAAGGCGGAAGGGGTCGTAGTCGTCAACAGGCGGTTAGAGGTGGTGTCATTGGGAAGCTGGCATTTGAGCAGAGACTTGAAAGAGGTGACCGAGTGAGCCTTACCGCTCTGCGGAGACCAGCAACAGCCGGCCCTGAGGCGAGGTGGGAGCTGCAGGCCTGCTAGAGGAGGGGCAGGGGGCAGGCAGAGCAGTAACCCGGCGGCTTGTGACAGGCCCTGTGGGCCATCGTTCGGACTCCAGCATTGGGCCTGAGAGGCAGGAGCATTGGAGCCCTGCATGGCGGAGCGATGTGATTGGACTTCCGAAGGAAGGACATGGGCTGTGGCGGACGAGGGCGCGAGCAGGGAGACCAGGAAGGAGGCCGCTGTGGGAGTCCAGGGGAGCAGTGGCGGTGACACGGTGCTGTTAGGGTGGCAGCAAGGTGCTTGGAATCTGGGTATATTTTGAAGTGACAGCCAGTAGGGCACAGGGAATAAGGAAAAGAGAATTAAGGATCCTCAGGCTTTTCGAGGAACTGGAAGGGGAGCCTTGACGTCAGCCGCTCCTTTATTCATTGGCCAGGTACTTGCTTGACACGTACCAAGAAGGAGGCTACTGCATTACTGGTACTGAACTAAGGCCGTGTGCGTTTTCATTTCCTTCCTCCAGTTTTTCCTCCATGGGTCTGACCTGAACTCTCTCCACACAAACCTCCCAAAAAGCATTCTCCCCAAGGAGTACGGGGGCACGGCTGGCGAGCTGGACGTCACCGCCTGGAACGCGGTGCTGCTGGCCGCGGAGGAGGACTTTGTGCGAGAGTCCTGCCAGCCCGTGCCCGCCTGCGGCGGCATCCTGGACCAGGCCGTGCTGGCCGAGGGGCCGGCCTCAGACGCACAGTGTGACGACTCCGTGCGGGCCGTGAAGTCACAGCTGTACTCCTGCTACTAGCGAGTCCCCTGCGAGCGTCACCACCTTTGAGTCCTTTCCTTTTCTCGTTGGGGAGGCGCAGGGAGAATTTTCAGTGCCATGGACTCATTCCTGCCCCTCGTAAGTACACCGCGACTCGGAGGAAAGCCCGGATTGCCCCGAGGGCGACCTGCGGGGTGCGCCCTGGATTACTTGAATCATTCCGTGGAGGACCTGGAAAACGTTTCCAGTGATTCCCAAATGTTTGGAATCCCAGTTTGCAGCTGTTAATGTGGAAGCTGTATCTGGTTCTTACACAACTCAAAGCGAGAAAAGTCAGGACCAAAGTCACTTTGGTCCTACGTCCCGGGAGAAAACAACTCAACAGGCCAGTCAGCACATTCCTCTGAGACGCTTTGCTCCAGGTTGCAAGGTGGCCACACAGGAGAGTCTGGGAGTTTGTGTCTTCACGTGAGCCCTGACCCCAGACTTCTGTTGCTCATCAGGAATCTACACGTTGGAGGTCTAGGCCCAATGCCGTCGGGGGTTTGGAAAGCACCTTACCTGAATCGGGCACTTCCCGGCTGCGTTTGGGAGCCAGAGGCTCCAAGCACCGTGGGATTCCTTGATTGACTCTTGCAATAGAAACTCATTTTCCCAAATCCATAAAGCCTTAGCCCTGGTTCTCAGTAGAATCATGCAGGGTCCTAGAAGTATGTAATTTTACTCAACCCCAAGTACTAGATGCCAGGCCTGTGTAGCTAAAAGATTTCGACCCTGAGAATTAAGCGACTTGAGCTCCAGCCTCGGTGTGTGACTGTGGACAAGGCCTGGGCCTCTGGGAGCGTCCATGCTCTCATCTGTGAACGGTGGCCGGATCAATGACACCCCAGGCCCTTGGGGCTGCTGAGGCTCTGGGTTTGAGACTTGGCTTTTCTACCTAGAAAAGTGACTCTCTAGGTGCGAGTGGCTGGATTGTTCTTTGGGGTACACCTGGGCCTATCCAGGAGGGATGTGTCACTTGCCATTTGGCCCTGCCTTTAAAGAAACAAGTGTGTGAATTCCTGGGACCCAGCGATACTAACTTCCTTTTCACAGTGAGGGTTAAACGTGAAAAGGGTGCCTTTGTGAGGGCAGGCAGGTGGGGTGACCAGGCTCTAGTATGGGTCTCCCCCATCCCTGAGGTTCTGGGGGTTAGTGCAAAGTGGCAGCAGGGGGTGGTTAAATTACTGGGACTCTGAAATTCTGGTCTCTGGAAATGAATACAAGGGCAGGTTACGCTGGGTCACTCCTGGGGCCCCTGCCCTCCCTAACTGTCCAGCGTTTCTCTCTGGTGTGGGCGGACACACGTCAGTCTGCCCAGCCAGCCTGAACGTTAGTTTTGTATCTCAATACTTTAGACCCTTCCTATGAAGAAGTTAGCCTTTGCCCAAGCATCAGATTATGGGGTTCATCTTGTGGCTTTTGACCTATTTCCTTTCCTATTCATTCCATGTAAATTATGTTCAAAATCGACAAGTACTGTGTGTTGTGTGTGTACCCTTCTCTGTGCACTTACTAGGCCCCCGGGCAAGGTGGACAGCTCGGTTAGGAAGGGAACAGTGCACTGAAACTTGAAGGCCAGTCTGCTGCAAATAAGCTGTTCATCTTCATAGCACTTTTGAAAATGTTTGGAGAAGTTGGTGGTGGAAATTACTTACCTCGTTAGTGCCAATTCTAGGGAGAGCTCAAGTCACCCTGGGTACTGCCCCCAGATCCCCTGGGGCCTGGCTGAGCTGTAGGTGCCAAAATGCACACCCTGGCCGCCTCGAGTTCCATCTGGCGATGACGGCGCGACCAGCGTAGCTGAAGAGATCTAAATAGGACACGTGGGGTGGCCATCGTAGGTAGAGGGTTTAGAGCCCATCTGCCTGGAGGAGCAAACCAGTTAGAGGCTTTCCTAGGTCCCAAAGAGGGGAGAGATTAAAACAATAAGCAAAACAAAAATTGCTAGACAGAAAAATGAGTTGCTTGGTCCCACCGAGCTTCCAGGGCTGAAAGTCTGCACTGCAGGCCATTGCCTTTGTCTGTGTGATGTCACCTAGGTGGCCAGGCTTACTGTGTCAGAGACCAGGAAGAATGTCCCAGCCTTTGTGGCTGGACTCAGGAACAATTCCTTTCAGCTTGTGGACAGTGAGTGTCTGTCCTTCTGCTGGAGCGGCTATGCTTTGTTTTGGCTCCAAAGAGATCTGGCGGTCTTGGCACCTCTGGGGTCTGAACCACGCTGGGAAAGCAGGCCCGCCCCAGGTTGAAGATCAAGGCAGCCTGGCCCCACCAGGCATGTCTGGAGTCTCCCCTGCAGGGCCAGGGGAGCACTCGGGGACCCTTGCTCCGTAGTGGAGGCTCACTGAGGGCACCCCAGGGACAGCCGGAGAACTGGGAGTGTTTTCCTTTAGGGAAAAGCCCCGGCCCATTCCACGGCATCCAGAATGAAACTTCCCAAAACTCAGCATAGGGTAGTGTAGGGAAGGGAAGCAGGAATCAGCAGTAATGAATTTTAGCTATACCTTGCTGTGTGGCTTTGGGTAAGTCACTGAGCACCCCAGAATCATCATGCACTAAAGGAGATCACACCCTGACTCTGAGGGCTCTGCTCCTGGCATCAGCCGCCCTGTCACAGGGTCACTGTGTCACAGGGACACTATCTTATTAGGGGCCCTCCCATCTGGGTTATTCAGAAAATGTAGGTCAGAATGAATTGGCACCTACAACTTCCAATGAATCTGTAAGTTCAGGTAATATGGGGTCCCCCCCTTTCTTCCCACATACTACCACACAGGAAAGGGTCTCTTCCTGGAACCCCACCCTACCTCCGTGGGGAAGGGCTGAACTGCACAGAAAGGAAGAACAAACAGCAGGAAACTCGAGCCTGGCTGCCTCTCATTTGCTCTTACACGAAGATGGCTTCAGCTCCCTCGCACCTCGTTCTGCTTTCCGGGAGCACCCTGTCCTTAAGTTTACAAGCACTTCAGCTTACAAGCTGCTACATTTTTTTGCCAAAAAGCAGCAGGGCAAGAAAGAGGTATTTTCCCCACGTTCCTGTGAGAGGACGAGCCTTTCGGAGCTCCCCCTGGCGGGCAGTGTCTTTACCTGCCGTCTGGTCCTGAGACCTGCACAGGGCGTTGCGTTGCTTTTTCATCTGGGTCAGCAGTGGCTGTGGTACTGTGTGGCATGATTATAATACCTCATCCTGAAGTTTTCGGCTTTTAAGCTTTTCCTTTAAAACCCTTCCTTCATTTAGGAAGTAGAACATTGGCTGATGTGTATGTGTGGCTGCCCTGTGGCACGAGAGGCGCAGAGATGCCAAACAAACTCATGACCGCTCAGGAGTGACGTCACTTCTCCCGCCTCTCGGGATTGGGCGCTGCTACTTTCGTAGATCCGAAGTGGCTTCCTTTCTGCCACCCTGGCTCAGGGATGGTTTGCTTGGGGTGTAAGGAGCGGGCAGCATCAGAGCAGGTAGCCCTCCTGGGTGGAATCCGCTCCACGGGGAAGCCCGGGGTGACCTGTGGGTGGAGGTGCCAGCACCGAATACGCCGTTCCAGTTCCCTGCCTCTCCTTCCGTCTCAGCGGGCGGCGTGTTCGGCTGGGCTGTCAGGTGGCTGCCTTTGGGACTCCTGTGGACACGCCTCACCTCTTGGCCTATCAGGTGGGACCATTACCAGTGAAACACTTGAAACTTCTGTCGGGCCGCCAGCCTCTGGCACCACTCTGCCTGGGTGGGAGGTGGGCTGATTTTCCGGCTGGATCGGGGCACCGTTTTATCCACTGTCCACATTCCACACTTCGAACCAAAGTCAGCTTGGCTCTGAGTATGGGGACATGTAGGTTCATCCACATCAGTGTTTGTCGACCAAAAGTTTATTTTTCTAGTGCATTTTCTAAGTCCAAGTGGTGAAAACGTGTCATTTTAGCATGCATGACTAGGTCTGAAACAATAAAAGTCCCTGTAAGGCTGAGTGTGTGTGGACTCCCTTTGTGAAAAGTAACAGTCGGGTGACACTTCCGGGGCTTTGTTATTTATGGCACGCATGTGCCTTCTGTAGACCCAGGCCCGGCTGCCACAAAGGTCACGTGCATCTGAAGACACCAGTGTGTAGGAAGAGGGTGGAGCTAGATGCACGCAGTGGTGGAGGCAGTGTGCGCGCTTTTTGGTTCTCAAGGCCGAGGTGAAGTTCTGGGGGCCCTGCATCCCCCGCCCCCAGTGTGAGTTCATGAGGGTTGGGCGGCGCCTGTGTCCTTCACATAGATGATCTTCAACCATCAGGCACCCTAACGAAGCAGTGGTATTATTGCCACTGTGGGGAAAGTGAGAACAGGTGAGCTGTTCGCCCAGGGTCACAGAGCGAGTCAGGCGGTGGACCTGGGATTCGAAGCCTGGCAGTCTGCCTGCAATCCACCACTGCCTCCCAGTGGCACCAGGCTGTGCTCCCCACGACCGTCAGTCCACAGCTGAACACAGCGGGACGGAAGGGAGGAACCTGTAGAATGAGGAAGCATTGGTCTAAAAATGGACTTTATTGTTTTGGCTTCTTAGAAAATAAAAAGCAGGGGTTCCTAATCTCTGACACCCAAGTTGTAATTGGACATTTTATTCTAGAAGCACCTAGAAGTACATGCGGATTCTATGGGAGGGGAAGTAGCTTATGGCTGGAGCAACGCGGGCCCTCTGCCCGCTCAGCTGAAGTTTCTCCACTGTCCCGTTTGTTCCTGTGGAGGGGCTCGCGCTCTGCCCCAGAGGGGACGGAAGCCAGGTCTCCCGGTGGGTCTGGCCTGTGGGCGATGGCTCCATTGAGAGATGCTGTCCTGCGGGACGTCTGTACACTTACTGTTGGCGTCTGACGAGGCAGCAGGTGAGGACTTACACAGCAACACACCAGCCCTTCGGGTCAGCCCGCCCGGAGGGAGCCGTCTGTCCCTCACACGTGGGCCAGTGGGCACCCGGCTCCCGCCCTCACCCTGTGGTGGTGTTCCAGGGACACAAATGACGCACTGGACACGCAGCCACTGGAGTTACCGCCCGTGTTGTGCGTCAGCACTTCCTGTAACACCTTAGTTTCCCCCCGCGCCCTCTCACATTACTGGTTTGGCATCCGTGTAACAAATGGCGGCAGATGTGTCATGGTCTCGCATGTAAAGCTGGTGAGACATCAGATCATTTAAGGTGCCACTTTTCTTGAAAAAAATTTTGTAACTAGATGTTCACTCTCTTACCTGATAAGGTGCCAGCCATTAGGGTTACAGTGACCAAGAAGCTAGCTGCCGCCTTGAGGGGGTTACTAACTTCCCCTTGTTAGTGACAGGTGGCTGAGGGATCCAGTGCCTCCCCTACCCGTCCCTAAGCAGTCCCTAGTTTATATTGTCTCCTGAAGCCCGCCTCGTGGGCCCAGAGACAAAGGGGTCTGTGTAATGGAAGGAAGAACTGAGTCCCCCAAGCCCTGGTGGTCTGTGAACGTGGTTCGTTGCTGGGTACATGTAGCTGTTCACTGTCCTTCACCTGAGGTCACGGGCACCGTGTGGCTCGAGTCCCTCAGTGGCACTCAGCACGTCACTGAGCAGGCTGCCCGACCTGGGCTCCTCGGTGACAAGGCAGACACAAGAGACCAACACAAAGGAACAGAGACACGAAGTGCTGCTCCCATGAGTAAGCCCAAGCCTGGCAGCTGCCATCAGTCTGCAGAGATGAAGTGCGTGGCCCACACTGATACTCACTTTAGCTTAACGGTAAAAATACAGTCAAGCAAGGACTTGGAGTGAACAAGAGCCGTCCTGGTTTTTTAAATCAAGCTGGAGCGATGACATGGTCTGGGACATCAGAGGCGCCGACACCCAGGCCCACAGCTGTTCTCTGGCGGTGTGTCTGGCTGTGACGAGAAAGTCTGATTTCCCAGTGGAACGAGTGCCTCCTCACAACCACCTAGAAAGTGCACAGCTGGCACGGGCCTGCGAGCCCTCTCCGGGGGCACCTCGGTGAGGGTGGCAGCCACGGCTGATGCCCCAGATGAACCCCTCCAGCATGTCACAGACCTCCAAGCCGGGGCCCTCAATCTGCTACCTCGGGAGACAAGCAGGCCTGTGTATGGTGACAGAACACTTCTGATCTGAAGTGAGGTGACACCATGAGGTGTGACAATTCAAAATGCACTCCGATACTGCTTTACAGTCTTATCCTGGACTTAAAATGCCGACATTCACGCTTGTCTGAAACTCAGCACCCGTGTGGATAATTTACTTGAGTCTTGGGCAGACTACTGGGTTTCCAACCGAACGTATTCTCAGGGTACAAAACCAAACAGCAGGCACACTGCCCCCTAGTTTTTAAAGAAAATTTGTAATTTCAAATTAGTATCAAAATTATCAAGAAAAAATTAAAAAACTTTATTGGACTTTATTACAGTTATTTTACAGTTTAGTATTGCTTTTATTTTAAATTACATAAGGTGGGGGGAGTTGATACATCATGTTTTTAGAGCTTAGGACGACCTTGAATGGGTTCAATCCGGCTGGCCTCTGTCAGGAAGAGGGGTGTCTGCTTCACACTGGAAAAGGGCTGAACCTCCCCTACCTGCCCCCCCAAGTCCCTTACAACCTTGGTCCTATGTCCAGTGTAAACCACTGGTTTAGAAGACAGTGGTTCCAACCATCCCTGTCAAGCCCTGCCCACGTCCACCCCAGCTGAGCCTGTGTCCTCCATGTGCCCTGTGTTTAATTCTGTAAGAACACTCGAATCTAGCCTGCGCTAGGTTTTGGCTGAAAATCTCTGACCTTTGAATATTGTCTAGTCTCTTACTAAGATTGTTTAGCCCTTACTGAGATTACCAGCTACTACCCGAGTGCTTAAAATGGGTTGAGCACTCTGCAAAGTAGCATTGCTCTCTAAGGTAGTAGGTACTACCTTTTGTTCAAACAGGGAAAACAATGGGGCTCAGACAGGTAGTCATTTGTCCAGCATCATAAAGCTTAGTATAGATTCAATCAATGTGAGCTGTTTGACAGGCAGAAAATGGCAAGACTGATGCAGACCAGCCAGACCTCCAGGCATTATGCTCCTGGCCACCCCCAGGCACCACACCCTCATCCTCCTGGCACATCGTGTCCCTCTTCCTGCCCCTCACCACAGAGATGGAACCACCACTGATGCAGGTCCTTAAACCAGAATCACCCAGGAATCGACCTCCCCCACATCTAAACACTGCGAATTTTTAAATTTTAATGACTAAGTAGCTCTGAGCTACCAGTTTCTCCGCATCCACACTTACATCTCCTTTTCAAATCTTACATGGGCTACCCTGGTTTTCTCTCTTTAAACCCATCCTCCAACATACGGTGATTGAAGACACAGCTCCCCTCGGCCTTCAGCCTAAGGTCCAACTCTTTTGTGAGGTTTACAAAGCCTTTTATAACCTGGTCCCTGCCCATTTCTCCCTATCGCAGCTTCCTAAGTTTTTTTTAAGTCTCCCTGCCTTTAACAGGCAGTTCTGTCCCCTCTTCAGCAAAGCCACTCCCTTCCCATTTCTTCCTTGGCAGCCCCTAACAGGCCTGGGCTGACATCACTTTTCCCAGGAAGCCTACGGTGGCGCCCCTGCACCGGGCACCTCTTCTTTGAGTTCTCTGCAGTTCCAGAATCACAGCACCAGTGATACCATACCACACTACTCGCCAGCTCGCTTCCACCCTCCAGGACACTAAGTCCAAGGTGGCAGGGAAGGTGTTGTATCCCAGCACCTGAGGGCCGGCAAAGAACAGAGAGCAAATCTTGGTCGAAAGAACAAACTTCTGTCTCCTTGCACAAAACCTCTTCTGGAGGATTCCTGACGTTCCTGCCCCTGCCTCTCACCCACCCAAGCGTCTCACCCAATGGTATTTATTAGGACAATTTTTTTCAATGAGTTTAAGACTTTACTCACTAGCCCTTAAGTTTTAGAAGGAATAGGTGCATTCTGTTAGATGTCTGATAAATCTGCCTGCTCACATAACTCTTAAAAATATAGAATGGCTGCGAATCCGTAAAAGCTGTTAAAGAAAGGGCCTTAAAAGCGTAAGTCTATTTTAATCAAATACCTTATAGTGCAAATATAACTCACATGCATTTTACTTTTACATATTCATAACATAATTAATTACATATACTAAAGGTGCAGTGTTTTCCCGAGTGAATCTTCATTTTAACAAAACCTATAAAGTATTTTTTGAAATTAATGTTCTGGCAAAGCCAGACTAAAATCAAGCAGCATCAATGCCATAGTATTAAAAAAAATGAAAAACTCAAGCTGCAGAAGCAGTGGCCCTATCAGCAAGCCCGCTCGGGAAGGACGCGCGCACAGCACGGCGCCCAAGCACTGGGATGTCACACCTGCTGAGCATTGCAGGACAGAACGGAGCGCTCGCGCCACACCCGTGAAGACGTCCACAGAGGAAACCTGCCACACAGACACATTATTACCTTTCTCCTGCTCTTTAAGGATATTGCGATAGAAATATATTAACGATGGGCTCCAATATCTGATATTTCTCTATCTTATATTTTACATCAAAGTTGTAGGAACCTAAGGTCTTAATAAAGAACTCTCTCAACAGCACAGCTGTAGTTTTACTTTACAATGCAAAAATGTTCCCTTTGCACCATATCCTTAAAAATGAGCACAATATACATGTAAAGTTCAGATCCTGCACCCATCATAGTTCAGTCTCGCCCTCAGCTATGAACCTTCATACAGTCAAATCCGCCAAGCGTTCACTGACTATTTTAGTTGAAGCAGAAGTAGCGGGGCTTCCAGCAAAGGCAGCCTATGAACTTCAGCGGTGTCTGTGGCCCTCGGGGCTCAGCTGAAATCTCGACTGGTGATGATGAGTGGAGCCACGAGGGTCCAAACGTAGAGGAGGAGGCAGACCCAGCTGGAGCTGATCTTGACCCACACAGCTGGCCACTTGCTGGTCACATTCTGGAACTCGGTGTCAGGGCTAAGGAAATAGAAGAGAGTCAGGAAAAGGAGCTGGACCTCCACCGGGAGCAGCCCCAGCCAAAGCCAGAACATTCTCCAGGGAAACCTGACTGACGCTGCTCCCTGGGAAGGTTCTAGCAGGGACTGGAGGAAGCTGCTGTTTTAGTTCTTACCAGCAGGGAACTCTGCCTCTCAAACAGCTTTTATCTTCTTGCCAGCATGAAGAACCCCAACAACTAACCTGCGGGCAAGGTTCTTTAGGAACAGCTGGCTGTTCTAGATACTGCTGAACGTCTAGACTGCAATGGCCTCCTTGTTCCCTCCCTACCCATCATTCCCTTGGTCGGGATGCTCTGCACGGCCCTCCCTAGTCACAGAAACATGAGAGCACGGAGACGGGCCGGTCGCTCTGTGTCAGGATCTCCTCTCTCAAGCACCCAGGTCTGGAAGAGCTGCTTATAACCTGCACTGTAAGAATTCCAGCTGGACTGTAAATCCAAAAGGAGAAAAAGTCCAAAGTATTTTAGGGAAGAGTCTGTACTGAACACAGCCTTATCATACAGGTAAGAGGAGGAGATTCTAAGGTCAGAAAAACGGATGGAGGTTTTATAGGCAGATCAAGGGGGCTACGTGGTCTTCCAACGGTGTTGCCTGCGTCTCCTACCTGTACCAGCTGGTCACGGTCATCATGATGTACAAAGAAGCCAGGAACAGCATAAAGTGGAAGACGGAGTAGTAGTACTGAACTCCCTCTTTCTCGTTGTCCACAACCCGCCGAGGCTGTCCCTCTTCTTCGTCACTGGCACCATTGGTAGCTGTGTCACGAAGGATCACACTTTCACTCCCTGACAGGGTCAGCTTGCTTACTTGGCTATTGCTGGACGTGCGTACGCTAGAAAGTGATCCCAAGGAAAACATCAGAAATGGACCGTGGAGACGACGTGCTGCCTCTGCACGTGACGGTTATTTCTGAACCGCTCCTACTCTGGGGCCTGGCGGCCTTCTGAAAGCCCTGAAGTTACAGACAGCATGCTTACCAGTCACTACTTGATGGATTAACTGCTTAGGAGTTTCCCAAAACACTGTGCTCTCAATGTCTACGTCCGTGCCTTTGCAAGTACCTCTTCTGCTCTTGGAATGTACCGCCCTCCAGCCTCCCTGCAGCTAACTTCCTCACCCTGCAGTTTTCTGGCCATGTACCCCGCCCTTTGGAAATCCTCCTCTGGCATCGCCCCATCACCAGGCTGGGTTGAACCCCACAGCTCTCGGTGCCTCCCTCTGTTGTGACACATGCCGCTGCTGTCCTCCTCAAGATCCACAGAACTCCTGGCCAACAATGGCCTTAGTCATCTCTGCTTTTCTGGCACATGGCAGATGCTCACTGAAGTTTGTTGAATGACTCAATAACAAAGTACATACAAATAAAGGACAAAAATCACATGGTCACCTCTATCGGCATTAAAAAAAATAGCCTTTTGATAAACTCTAATACCTTCTCAAAATGACAAAAATGCTCCAACTAAGAACAGAGAAAAACTTTCTAAAAAAATAAATAAAGGGCCTTTGTGAAAAACCCGGTGCTGAACCCGTACTTAACGGTGAGAGTAAGCTCCCCCCGGGAGCAGGAACACAGACAAGCACTCCACTCTCATCATTTCCATCCAACATTGTGCTGGAGGTTCAAGCTAGAGCAACTACCCAAGAAAAAAATAAAGGCATCCAGATTGGAAAAGAAAAAGTAAAGCAATCTCTATCTGCAGATGACCTGACCTTGTATATGGGAAGTCTTAAGGAAGACACACTCAGAATCAATGAACCACCCTGAAGGATATAATATACCAAAAAAAAATACATTCCTATGCATAGCAATGAACAGCCTAGAAAATAAGAAAACAATCTCTTTGACAACACCATCAAAAAATACTCAGAAAGAAATTAAAGACCTAAATGAGACATCCCATGTTCATGGACTAGAAGCTTTAATATTGTTGAGATGGTAACACTCTCCAAGTTGATGTACAGATTCAATGCAATCCCCTTCAAATCCCAACTACTTTTTTTGAGGGGGCAAAAATTGCAAGCTGAACCTAAAATTTACATGGAAATGCAAGGGACTGAGGACAGCCAAAAGAATCTCAAAAGAGAACAAATTTGGATGACTCACAATTCTTGATTTCAAAACTTACCACAAAGAAACACTAATCATAAAAGTGGTACTGGCGTAAGGATTAACGTATATACCAGTGCAGTACAATTACGAGTCTAGAAACAAGCCATTACATCCATGGTCGACTGAATGTAACGGCCAGGGTAAGGACGCCAGGGCAAGTCAGTGGGAAGGAATAGTCTTTTCAAAAACGGGCGCTGGGACCACTGGGCATCCACATACCACAGGACAAAGTTGGGCCCTACGTCTCAAACCATATTAAAAATCAATAAAAAGACAAGAACCCTAATTTTAAAATAGGCAGAAGATTAAAATAGACATTTCTTCAAGAAGATACAAAAATGGCCAATAAGCACGTGAAGAATGGTCAGCTTCGTTAGTCACCAGGGCAACGTGAAGCAGAGCCGTAAAGAAGTGCCGCTGCCCACCCTCCTGATGGCTACGACCAGAACGACAGTGCAGGGACCCGGAGGTCCTGCAGTCAGAGCCCCGTGACATGGTGTGGCCGCTCCGGAAGATGCTTCGGCAGCTCCTCGAAGAGTAAACAGGGCGTGCCACACAATCCAGTAATTCGGCTCACAGGTACATACACAACCCCGAGAACGGAACACTTACGCCCACACGAAGAATGTGTACACACACATTCAGAGCAACAGCAGTCACGACAGCCCCACAGGGGAAACACCCGGGTGTCCATCCCCCGGTGCGCGGACCCACACAGTGTGCTACAGCCACACGACCGCACATTATTTCCAACAACGGGAAGGAATGAAACACTGGCACGCGCACAACACAGATGACCCTTGAAGACACCTGCCAAGTGGAAGAGGCCAGTCACGAAAGAGCACACACCGCATGCTTCCATATGCACAGAACACCCGAATGAGCAAACCTAGGGCCAGAAAGACAGCTGTCTGCCAGGGCTGGCGGACGGGAATGGGGACTGGCTGCTGCTGAGCACGGGGTTTCTGGGTACACAACGTGTTCAAACTGAGTGTGCTGATTTTTGTACAACTGTGAATATAATAAAACACTTCTGAATTTTTTTTAAATTCACTTTTTTTGGAAAGATTTTATTTATTTATCTTTAGAGGGGAAGGGAAGGAGAGAGGATGAGAAGTATTAACGTATGGTTGCATCTCATGCGTCCCCTACTGGGAACTGGCCTGCAACCCAGGCATGTGCCCTGACTGGGAATCGAACCGCTATCCTCTGGTTCACAGGCCTGTGCTCAATCCACTGAGCTACACTAGCCAGGGCTAAAATTCACATTTTTAAAGGGTTAATTCTGTAGTAGGTAAATTATTCCTAAAAAAAAAAAAAAAATCCCGAAGGCGAAACCAACCGTAGCCACAGACAGTATGAAAACAAAAGAGCACAACTGTGTTCCAAGGAAACTACTCACAAAAACGGGCAGACAGCCCAGGGCTGAAGTCTGCCAACCCCCATTTAAAGCAATCCTTCAAAACCAGAGGTAAATTTGCACACGGTATTATGGAAAGCCTTCCAGATTATAACAAATTCACATTTCAGAACAGTCTGTGTATTTATGTAGCATGTTCCTATTTTTAAAACAATATACAAAGTGATATAAATTAAACTATATTTAGCTATATATAGTTATATTTAGTTAAATAGATAGACAGGTTGACAGCATCAGGGTGTCAAACTCATCTTCACCAGGGGCCACATCAGCCTCAGGGTTGCCTTCCAAGGGCCGGACGTCATTTTGGGACCGTGTACATGTAACTACTGCTTAACTAGGGGCGAGGAGCTTGGCGCTGCTGCCAGGTAGAAACAAGGTGCCGGGCTGGATAAAACCAGGTGGAGGGCCCGACTGGCCCACAGGCTGCCTGTGCAGTAAATATAAGCAAAGGATAAAAACCCTAAAATAACATGTACCAAATGCTAACCACGGAAGAGGTAAATTCGGAGGAAGGACACTTTCATATTCTATCTTACACTTTTCTCACATTATTAATTTATGTGAACATATCCTTATCAATTTTTATTGCCTATTTTAAAATAATTAAGGTAATATATGCTATTTTGTGGGAAAATATCAATAAAAATGAGTGGGAGGATCAGTGCTAACTGCTAACATAGGCCATATCTGGGGCCTTGGATTTACTAGAACCTTTTACATTAGGTGTGCATATTCTGTAGTTGTTGAATTATTCACAATGATCAGGAATTTTTTTTTTAAACAAAAAGCCAATTTTCAGAGGCACTATTCTAGCTGACCTAGGTCGGTCACGGAGTTTGCCTCTCGTATGAATGAGAAACTGTTTCTTTGGAAGGTTGGGAGGAATTATTTGACGAGAGAATCTGATGAACTTTAAGAAGCATACATGGCTTGTAACTGAGGCAAATCAAGAACTTTTAATAAAGAAGAGTTAGACTGTTTTTTTCCTTTCCTTTTTAAAAAAATCCTCACTCAAGGGTATGTTCACTGATTTCAGAGAGCAAGGAAAGAGGACAGGGAGCAGGAGAGTTGGGGGGAGAGTCAGAGAGAAACATCCATTGGTTGCCTCCTGGGTGTGTCCTGACTGGGAATCGAACCCACAACCTTTCTAGTGTACAAGATGACGCTCCAACCACCTGAGCAACCCAGCCAGGGCCCATTAGGCTATTTAAAAAAATTCTTCAGTCTGCTTTTTAAAGGCAAAATAGCTGCTTCAGTCTATCTTCAACCTTCATCCGAATCTTAAGTATTTTTTAACTTACCTAGAATACAAAAGGCACATAACAGAGATGACCAGCCCCCAGACAGTGTGTTTATCCAGAAAATGCCCACTCTGTGACAGTGGAGCAGAGGTAGGGACCACGGCAGTGGCATTTCCAGGAGCCAAGGTTGGTGAGGTCACGTGTGTGATGATGCTCAGCAGGTCCGGGTTGCAGGAACGATCTGAAAACGGGAAATGCTGCATTAGCCTTAGTCGTAACTCCTCTTGTCCCAAGAAGGGCTTTGAGGGGCGTGGGATACATTCGGTCGTGACACATGGGAACGCTTCCCTGTCTTTAAAGGGACCTGAAACTTGGTGGTCAGTAACATATTTGTGTTGCAAGCCATGACACTTTTTTTCTAGTTTCAGAAAAAAAGAAACAATCATTTGTCAGATTTCATAAACATCCATCTTGATGTGACTGGTTTTGAAGTTGAACTGATAAATCTTCTCGGTTGTACAACCACGCAGAGGCTTCAGGCACAAGGTGCTTATCCCTACTTTTGCTGTTACACACTTATACGGGAATACAGTAAGTTGAGTCATCATTAGAGGATCTGTGATAACTGTTTTCCTTTCAAAGGAACCCACTGAATACCCTGAGAGACAATCCTATAGTAACTACAAGAGATTTCCTGTAGCTACAGGCTCTATAGCCAGGAACACAAAGTAAAATTCTATTAAAACAATTCTACACAAGGCCTCAACAATGTTGCCTTGTCTAGCTCTTAACTAGTTTGACTTAGGCCTGGGAAAAGCATAAAGGACTAGCATAAATAGACCAGCATAAAGGACTGCGTGTGCGGTCTTTTAATGAGCGGATCCCAACCTCGGACTGGAACCGGGCCGCACAGCAGGAGGTGAACTTGAATGTAATGCTATTGAATCACCCGAAACCATCCCCACCACCTAGTCCCTGGAAAAACTGTCTTCCAAGAGACCGGTCCCTGGTGCCAAAAAGGTGTGGGACCGCCTGTCAGCTATGAATAGCTATGAACAGACATGGAGAAGAAAACTTGAAAGGTAAACATCTGCAAACAGTGAACATTATACATTTCAGTGGAGTTGTCTATTCACTTATTTGCCATCTGCTCTAGCTCTGGTTTTTACGCTACCGAAGGGGTCATTTCCTACTTTCTTTTCATCACGTGAATGTGCTATTGCCATTCCCTTACCAGGCTCGTTGGTCATGGCTGACCATGTGAGGTACATGGTGTAGGCGGTGATGACAGAGGACTGCAGGAGGCCGGAACGAGGCTGGTGTTCCTACGGAATCAAACAGAAAACAATGCCGCAGGAGCTGCAGGGCGGACTTCCTAAAACCCAGTGTGCTTCCCCGGGACCCACTGGGTTGTCATTAACTAAGAACCCTCTGCTCCTTCTCCACAGTTGAAAGATGCCAAGTACCTTTCTGTTTAGTTAGCTTGGAAAAGAACCAGGAAAGAAGCAGCACTGGTTCTCTGGGCATTTCACAATCCTGTGGGTTCCTGTGCACCACACAAGGGTTCCCATTTACAGTCTCTCTGCGTGGTGGACTGTAAACCCCGCTTTGCCACTAACTAGCGAGGTCACCCACCATCTGTCTGGAACTCTCACTTTTCTCACTTTTAAAAAGAGAGGTGAGGTCTAGATGTTCTCAAACTTCATATATAAAACTCCATGAATTTAAGTATGGCATTTAAGTGATGAAACTCAGGAGCATGAGTTTTATTTATCTATTTATTTTTAACCATCACCTAAGAATATGTTTATTGATTTTAAAGAGAGAAGAAGGGGGTGGGGAGAGAGAGGGAAACATCAGTCAAACCACAGCCTAGGCATGTACCCTGAATGGGGACTGGACGAGCCTTCTAACTAAGCCAGCCACAGAAATCAATTATTTTTTTCCTAGTTAATTCCCCTAAAATACCTTGGCTAATGATTTATAAGAATCAGTCTTTCGAAGTAAACAATCATAAAAATTATCAATTCTCAGGTTACCTACATTTTTTTAAATGATAGGGAAATTATTCATTTGATTATAACACAGGCAACTCAATGGCACATTTTATAGTCTCTAGGTATAATTGGAGAAATGTTTAAATGGGGTAAAAATGCACATACATTCACATAAAGGGCTACCCTGGTTTCAAGGACAGCATTAATTAAAAATCTCACTGGAGGAAGCAGCAGAACACGACCATACCTGAATTTTTGGAAGGATCGATACAATAGAAACAATAATGCAAAGGATCAGATTGATGCTGATGAAGAACTTGTTTTCTGTGCAGCCGTCTGGCTTGGTGTAGTGTGCATAGAGCCAGCCGACGGTGACGAGTGACAAGATGTACAGGGTGCTTGTGACAGACAGTAAAACTGAAAGAACAAAAATAAAAAAGGAAAGCCAATATAAATGCCCACAAGTCTAACAACTTTTATCAAGACCAGTTTTTCTTCCACTCTATGAAAACAGAGACATTAGGTCACTTTTACGGTGGTTACTAGTTCGAGGTGAAAAGATGGAAGGCCCACGGTTGAGTCTCAGACTGTGAGAGTCGGCTCACTGGTAAATGACAAAACCGACCCAACGACTGAATCCGCTCCCTGGATTACCTAGCTTGGTTTTGTGGGTTGAAAAACCAGGCATCTGATCATACCAGCCAGAGTAAATTCTCAGTACGTGCTCAATATTGTTCATTATCAGCTTTTCTTAGGAGCCCAGACAACTGCTTGACCCTCAGAATGGCCCAGTTCACAGCGAAGCTGAAAGGCCAGGGATGGTGTCGGCAGACACACGACAGGCGCCTCTCACGGCTGTCCTTCATGTGCAGCCACAGGCTGCAAACCCCCGTTTGCTGTCACAACAAGACCACGTCATTGTGGGAAAGTGGCTTAATTGCTAATTTTCAAATATCTAAAGCGATGTTCCTTTCTTTCACGTGAGTAATAAACAATTTGCTCTAAGAGAAAACACTACACAGTCTCTCACACCAACTGTGTTTCATTCAAAGCACAAGCTTACTTGAGAAACTCATTTCTGCTGATCTCAATCGCAATGGATTTTGCAATGTTTAAATGATCCATATATATGACACATTAAGTCACTAGCACAGTTCCTAATGTCTTCTATCTGAACACACAAGATCTCTCTTAGTTTTAGTTACGGAAAAGTATGGCAAACCTATCATTCATTATTCTTCTAGGGCTGGAATGAACCAAGATAGGTAAAAAATGAAATAAAATTTTATTAGTCAGAAAGGAGGAGAGTTTCAGGATTCCCAACCCATAATGGTGATAGACAGTTTAAAAAATCTTTTCCTGCAATAAGCCGTCATTATAAACACTACCAGGGGCCTGTTAACAACAGGGCAGTGCCTGAATCCATTACGGTGCGCCGTGACACGGACACCGGGAAGTGCAGACTGGAGTATCACGCAGCTGCTCACGGATGAGACACACCTCTGTTCACTGGCAGGGGGGATGCTCATCACACAGTAAGTGAAAGAGCAGGTCATGGGACAACACACAGTGTAAAGCTCCTGACATTTAAGTACAAAAAGTACAAAAACAAGCAGACGCGCACAAATACACACAGGTCCGGTAACAGCGGATGCATCCAGAGAGAAAAGTGGGTTATTGCAGGCTGGTAGCTACATGTTTTCTTCTTGATAAAATTCTATCATCTGTGTTTATGGTAAAAATGGTTCTATGTTTTTTCTTTTTCAATTTAAAAAGAAGCACCCTAAATAAGTAATATGAAAGGAAAACCGGACAATCTGGTAACATGTACTGAGCATCTACAAGATTCACACCCTCTGACTCTTCTGCTTTTGGGAATTTATTCCAAGGAAATAATCGGGAAGGTGCTCACAGACAGCAGGTTATTAGGTGTATTGCTGTCCCTCGGCCAAACATATTCCCGAGCTATCTCTAAGTTTTAAAAAAGGTCAAACTAGAAACTATTCAAATATACAATATGTTAAAAATAAGTAAGACGCAAACATAGTCACATTTTTCAATGACTTTTTTATACACAGAAGGTACACATGTACACGTAGGATAAAAGACTAGAAGGATTTACACTAATAGGCCAACACTGAGTAACAATCACCAGGAAGTTAGATTGTGGGGGAATTTTTTTCTTTTGTGAATTTTGGTTTTCAAGTTCTTGACATGGAGCATCTATTATTTTATAATTGGAAGAAGGGAGGGAGTCAGGGCAAGGAACCTCAGCCACTATTCTTAACACTGAAGTCTGGCTGGGTCACTGCTCCTGATCAGGACAGTGCTCCAGAGTCCCCCAGACAAATTGTACAAGAGGTGCGGCCACACTCTGGATGAAGCCTTCAGTGAGAACTGTCCACCTCCTCTGCCCATGTCAGCGGACGTCCCGTCCACAGAATGCATCTGAGTCCCCTCGTCCAGGGAAATGAGGAAATCAAAACCAGAACTATGTCATTAAATACAACTCTTCTCCTTATCCAAACACACGTAGTTACGTCACAAATCTCAAAATACATGAACTGGGAAAACCCAGTGATATACTATCTGTGCTACTCCCTTCCAGCAATGCATATACTTCACCATGAACTCAATGGGAAATTAGTTTAAAAAGTCTGCTCAACCTTGAAAGTTTATATATTCCCATCAGTGGAGATTTTTCTTGCACTCCCTGTTTAACACAGAATAATGCAGAATGGCTCTCACGGGCGAGTTTAGATACCTACCAGCATACCAGCGCCTTGAGTTTCCTTCTTCCATTCGATTTACCAATGATTCGTTTATAGAGTGAGCCAAGTCGACCAATAGCACCAGCTGGATAAGGATGAATAAGAAGGCCCCAATCATGCCAATAACAAACCAGGCTACGAACCAAAAGAACAAAGTTATTCTTTCCCATAGAGGTAACTTTTCAGAATGTTAACTAACAAACTAAAAAGATTTCAATTCAAGTAAGAGAGAGGGGGTAAAGGCATATTCTGCTCAGCAGTAAGGCAGGATTACTGATTCCAAACTCAAAGGTAATTCTCTGAGAAGTGTTCTGTTGGGTTTCAGTCCTTTTACAACTTGCTCTAGTGTGTGCCAAGGGGAGCCTAGGATCTGACCTTCCCAATGCTACTAGAAGCCCTTCCTTTCCTTTCCAGGAGACAATCACAGTGGAAATCCATGTAAGTCACCTGACACCATGGTCAGGGATGGCAGAGCCCTGACTGACGTGGCTCAGCTGGGCATCCTCCCACAAAGCAAGAGGGCGCCGGTTCAATTCCCAGTCAAGGCATGTGCCTAGATTGCAGGTTTGGTTCTTAGGGAGCATGTGAGAAGCAACTGATTGATGTTTCTCTCTCAGACCAATGCTTCTCTCCCTCTCTTTCTCCCTCCCTTCTCCTCTCTTGAAAAATAAATACAATTTAAAAATTAAAGAAGAATAAAAAGGCAGTAGAGCACAAGTTACAAGTCCTTATGTTGACAAGCTCTCTAATCAGCTCAGTGCTGCCAAGTAAGAAGATAACCCATTAAAATATTAGCACACAACTCAAGGCGGTTCCAGAGCAGCTGAGAAGTGACCTGAATGCCTCCTGGCTTTAACCAGTCAATATCCTAATAGTAGTGCTGAGTCATATAATTGGACATCACCTCCTTTGTCAGGTCTGCACAATCAGTAACAAACACACAGCTTTAACTCAATCACTTGTAGAGTCAGACATACGGTAACTGAGCCCCGCGATGGTGAGCCGTACCTATGGTGAAGTGGCCCCCAGGGATGTAGAAAGAGCCAACCATGATGCCAACAATGGCAGCAATTTTGAAGAACCAAAACCTACGAGAATATAAAAAATGCATTTATGTGATGGTAGTTTTCACTCTTATGCTAAAAAAATTAGTTTATAAAATGCAAACGTAAGCCTGAATAGCATTTTCAACATGCCTGTCTGGGCTAAGGTCTTCATTTGACATGAAGCTACTTCATTCAGTGTTTTACACAATTTAAGAACAGCACAGAGAGCAGCTCACTCACATTCATATTAAAAAGAACATGTATCTTCAGAGTTTCCCTACTTTTAGCACTTAAAGGTGGGAAATTTTCTAAGATTCTGAAGTGTTCAATGTTGCCTGGATATAGAGCAACTATTAGGTCTGGGGAAAGGTCGTCACCCAACCCTCCTCTACAACCCAGGATACATAAGTGCCCTGGCTCACAGTTACCGAGTTCATCACTGGCAAAGCCAAGAGCACACCTGGCTTTTAGTCCACAATCTTTAAAGACTCCTTGTACGGCAGAGTAAAAAGAATCAGACTTGGGAGCTGGACAGGCCTGAGTTTCAATCCCAGCTCCAATCCTCCCTGGCTGAGATCTCAAGCAATTTATGTAACCTCTCTGAAATTAGATTATTGCACATGTAAAAGAGGGGTTAAAATAAAGTTCACAAAACTCCCTTCTGTCTTCAAATGAGAATCGGGGGAACTCGGGCTAGGAATACGGAAAACAACAAAATATGTAAATCAGTGGCCCAAATATATTCACTGTTTATCTTTCTGTAGAGTTTAAATACATCATGCACATGCTTATCTTTTAACAATAGAAAGGAAAAAAGTGGTTCCTAACACAGCGCTTGAACTGTGTCGTGGGTGTTCAATAAAAATCTAGGAATAAGAAACAAAAGATATTAAAAAAAAGAAACAAACAACAACAACAAAAACACTCTCCTCGTCCCCTCTCCCTCCTCCATGCTACTACGGTCTCTGACTGCAAATGACAGTGACACACCCTCACACGTGCAACAGGTCAGAAACACACGTGGGCCACCGACTCACTACTCCACCGCTTCCATCAGGGTGGCGACATTCACTGCTGAATGGGGGCCCCACACCATAGCATTATCAAGTTAATAATAAATAAACCTTACATACCCATTGTGTATTGCCGCTCTGGGATCTTTACTCGATTTGACTTTTATCATGAGCAGAGAAAAGGCAAAGAAAAAGATGGCCAGGGCGAAGCTGATTCGATACACAGCTTTAAAACCGACCTGCACATCACAATCTTTATTTGCCTTTAGACCAGCCACCTTGAAAGTAAATTCCCCTTCACAGAATCCAGGAATCTGGAAAACATGGTTTCAGTGTTACAGAACACCCACATTTAAACAGAGGTTCCACCCCAGCACAGGAAGCCTCAACGTGTAAAACGACTACTTCAACAACAGCAAGACTGTCCTGTGGGATTTCTCTCTGTCTTCCAGTTCATTCACACTCCTGTCACCAAATAGTATTAAGTAACTTGCATTTTGGAAGTAAAAGCGAGACACTCTCTTCCTTGCTCTTTTCTACTGATGAGGTTGTATCTCCCACTTCCCATGAATTTTCATGCTACAACTCACTCCTTCCAAAGGTGACGGCCTAGTTCAGGTTAAATGTTTACGTCTTAAACACGTGGAAAGAAAATGTTTTAGGGACACTCTCTCAACATCTCCTTTCCTCCCATTGTCAGACTTGAACCTGAAGATGCTCACCGTGGCTTCCTTTATTTCTGGAAAAGGACTAATACCTTCATATTGTGCCTTGACTATACCCCCAAATTACAGTGAACTTGACTGGCTTTCGTAAGAGTGAAGTAATAAATAAGAACGTCAATGTCAAAATAAAGTAAAATTTTGTGAAATATAAAAATCATTGGTACAGTAAGGGTTCTGTTACTTCTACTTAACCTTCTTCAGCTGTTCTTCTATTGGTTCCATCAGCATAATACAGGATACAAGGGCGCCCAGGAAGAGGATAAAAGCGTAGATGAGGCGTGTCACCGTGGAATTCTTACTGTTGGGACAGCAACTGCAGAGCAAACATGAGGCACCACCACAAAGGCACGGAACCTGGAATGAGCACACACAGCCATTTGAGACTTTTCAGTGGGCTTTTTCATGAAATAGGGGTTGCAGAAGAGAGGATTAAGGGAACAAGGCTTCCGTGGTTTTAACGGAAGTACAGCAGGGAGGAAGTGGTGAAAAGCACGGGCTCTGGACTCAGTATCACTTCTGCCACTGCGTCTCAGTGGACCCTTTTCTCCATCTGTCAAACGGACTCAGGAATGGAGTTTTCCTCCCTCAAACACTGTATTAAATAAGCACTCAACGCAGTACCTAAAACATTAAAAGCCCAATAAATTTTACTTACATTCATTCATACAGGGGTCATGTTGAATTTAAAAACAATATATCGAGCCCTGGCTGGTATAGCTCAATTGATTGAGCGCCAGCCTGCAAACCAAAGGGCCACTAGTTCAATCCCCAGTTCAGGGCACATGCCTGGGTTGCTGGCTGGGTCCCCCAGTTGGGGGCATGGGGGAGGCAACCACACATTGATGCTTCTCTCCCTCTTTCTCACCTCCTCCTCTCTCTAAAAAGAAATAAAATCTTAAAAAACAAAACCCCCAAAAACAATATATCCTCAACAGGATGTGAGGAACTTGACACTGCTTGACTCTGAGTTTTAGGTCATAAAAGGTACTGCAGTTTCTCCTGCTGAGAACCAGCACACAAGACGCCCAAGTCCCCAGAGGTCCCTGTGCTTTGAGGGAGCCCATCCACATGGAGAGGCCTCGTGAGGCAGCGCCCAAGCTGGTCTCTGCATCCCCGAGTCCTCCCCACCCAGGTCCAAACCTGGGCTGAATGGGCCTTCAGATGATTCCAACCCAGCTGCCAAGCCTCCGCAGCCTGTGCCCCTTCTGAATTTCTGACCCACAGAAGCTATGAGCAGTTGCTGTTTTCTGTCTTTAAGTCTGGGTGGTCTGTTACATAGCCATAGTAACCAGATCAGTGGTTTTCCCAGTTCTGCTAACAATCCTCAAGTTTTACGAGGCACTGCCAATGATGAGTTGTAAAATGGAAAGAAACCACCACCAAGTAACTGCTATTAACTACTTATTATTTTTAATGACCTCGGTCAAGTAGGCTAGAGGAAAGACTGCTTTCCCTTTACGCTAAAGAAGATGATATTACAAAATTGATGAATAAAGTAGTAATCAAAACAATGAAGGAAAAGGTATAGAAGTTAATATTTAAAAAAATTTTTATTTAGTTTTTTTTTTTTTTTTCGAGAGGAGAAGGGAGGGAGAAAGAGAGGGAGGCACAGAAACGTCCATGTGCCCTATGTGGCCCCCACTGGAGAAGTCAATTAATATTAATGTTGTTATTTAAGAAGTTTCTGTGATGTATTGGCATTTGTCAGCCATTCAAAATTTGCATTTTTGAGTGATTTCTCTTATCCTTCTAGATATTCACATAAAAATAATAAAAACAATGTATCTTAATACTGAGAAAAATACCAACCTAACTGCACTTGTTATGTACTGAGAATCTTAGTTACCAAGTCTGATGTTACCGCATAAAGCAGCATTACATGATGGCAAGAGCATGGGTAACCTGGAAACTCCTCAAAAAGTTAAACATTGAATTACCGTATGACCCAGTAATTCCACTTCTACACATACATACATAAACAAGTGGAACAGGTATTTAAACAGAAGCTTGTACCTGAATGTTCAACACTTCACAACTGGCAAAAGGCAAAACAACCCAATGTGTATCAGCTGATGAATGGGTAAGTAAAATCTGGCATATCTACACAATGGAATATTATTCAGCCACAAAACGAATCAAGTAAAGGTGCCTGAACTGTGGGACAGACCTGTCCTACTACATGTTATGTCACTTCCCTATTCTTCTGGTTACTCAGTCCGAGAACCTTGGAGTCACCCTTGATGCCTTCTCTATTTCCGAAACCCTCATCCAATCTGTCAGCACATTAGCTCTATCCTCAGAATATACCCAGAATCTGACCCCTTTCTCCGCTTCCTTAGCCATCACATTAGTCTGAGCCACTAACAGCATCTTTTATCTGGATTAATGCAGTAGTTCCAGTCTCCCTGCTACAGGGACCCACTCAGAACCCAGAGCTAGTATAAAGAGTATTTTAAGATGAAAACACCCGAGATTCAGAACAGATGAAGAAAAAAGCCTTCTGAGCGCTGTCCTCTAAAAGCAGCAACTTTGGGGGTGTGAGGCTGGCCCTAAGTTCTCTCTCCAAAGGAGTTTTATGGCCATGAAGACAAAAAGACCTCTGCATCTATACAAACAAATCATTATTACATTCTTATCTCCTGTTTGTTCTCCTAAAAACCCATTTGTTTTTCCTAAACAAACTTACTTGTTCTTCCCATAGGAGCCCTCTTCTCCCACCGCATTTCCCATTAAGTTGGGAATATAAACTTTATATAATAACCACCCATTTGAGCTGCTCATCACCAAGCACTGCTCTGTGTGTGGATGTGCTGCACTCACACACAAACTCTTCTCTCTTGATGACCTTCCATCGGTTTAATTCACAGGCCCCTAACTCCAACAGAGTGGAAGTTTTCCCTCCCCCACACTGCTTTGCTCATTCTTTTCTACCATCTATTCTTCACACAGCAACCTTGTTGAAACACAATCAGATCAGACCATTCCCCTTTTCCGGATCCCCATATCACCTAGGAGTAAAAGCCAAAGCCCTTAAATTGGCCTACCAGAGCATACAATGGGTATCTGCATGCTTTGGTTCCCTGCTGGTTTCTGACTTCCTTTCCTATTATCCTTCCCCTCCTTTATTCCATTCTCTGGTTCCCTGAACTCCGGGCTGTTCCTATTAAACAAAAGGGATTCATAAAATGGAAAAATCATTTATAGATAGAAATGCTTTGATGGCATAAATTCAAAGTTCAGGCTAGGAAGGGCATTTTTCTTTCAAATCTCCAATTCACTCCTTAGTTAATGATCTTGTTTTTTTTTTTTTCTTAATTGATTTTAGAGGGAGAGAGAAAGAGAGAAACATCTACTTGTTGTTCCACTTATTTATGTATTCATTGGTTGATTATTGTATGTGCCCTCATGGGGGATCGAACCCCAAACTTGGAAGTCTGGATAACACTCTAAACAGCTAAGCTACCCAGCCAGAGTAATGACTGTCTGAGGTATACATTTCTACATCTATTTGTAAATACTGAATTTGACCCACTAGTGGATTGTAAAAATCAACTGACCAGGATTTTTTAATGCAGTAAAAAAATTGTACAGTAGATGGTAAAACTAAGAATTGTTTCATGAAACTTGTGTCTAAATGGAGGTATTAACTATCCAGAAATTATTTACTTTGGGTCAAAGTCAAAAAATTGGGAAAGCCACTGCTCTCAAGGAACTGGCACATTTGATTTGAAATTAACAACCTTGAAGATTGGAAAACAGTGTCCCTCAGCAACAGTCATGGAATGAGCTCAGATTTGAGTCCTCCGTCAATTAAATCAGTTGGGGAATTAGGAAACAAGGAAATGACTTCAAGAAACCACGTTCCTCTGAAGTGAGTATATGAGGGAACTCAGGGTATTCTATTCCATAAATCCTAAAACTTCCTCTTTAAAATATGGCATTTACAATCCACAAAGTGATTCAACCTATTTATTCACTTTATCCCACAACAGCTCTCCAAGGGAGGAATGCTGGGGTGATGATAATCCTTGTCTTACAGGCAGAGATAAATGATTTGTACAAGGTTCCCAAGTTCAGACCATGGCTTCCAACTCTGAATAACAATCAACAAGGCCTTCTTCGCCTCGCACCAAAGCTGCAGACAGGCCTCGGTTAAAATCACAGCTCTGCCACGTACTCAGTAGCATTGACAAATCCCGTGCTACGGATAAAAATATTACAAGCCACCCAAATTAAATGGCGCCACCTTCAGAAGGTGCTTGGAAATGAACCAGAGAGCTCCCACCGTGGGAGCTCATTCCTTGGTTGTATTCCAGCTCCCGGTGAACCTAGATGCCGGAAGGCTCGCGGGGGCGGGGCAACAGGAATTGTAAACAATGGCAGCCTGGCCTCCTACATTCCTCACCAAACCCGGAAAGTGAGCCCCCTAATCCCGATGGCGAGGCATTCCGATTTTCGCCTAGGCCAGTGGATACTCCCTACAGCCCAGGGCCCGTCCCTCCAACCCCGGATCCCCTGCAGCCGAGGCCCGATCGGGTCTAGTGTTGGGACTCACTACCGCCACCCCCGCCCAAACCTCACGCCCGACGGAGACTCCAGGCCCGAAACTCACCCAGCTGGCCAGGGAGCAAACGCCCAGGACAGCTCCCATTGTGGCGCTGGTGGCAGAGGTGGCGGATTAGGAGGCTTCTAGTGCGCTGGTAACTGCCAGTTGAAGTGCCTCCTCAAATACGCGACGGTTACTCAGGCCGGAAACGTGCTGCCTGCATCATTGCGTGGCCCCGCCCATCGCCCGCCGCCGCTGAACAGAAACGCCAATCGTTGGTAGAGGAAGAAGAAGAAACTAACTCCCACCTGCCCCGGCTAAGGGAGGAGGCGGAGCTAAGCCGGTTGAGAGCCGGGGAGAGAAGGTGGGTCTCTGCCGGCTGGTAGGGCAAGAGTTGGGAAGGCTATAATTCTTCTAGTTTGAATTCACTGGAAACCCATTATGTGTTAAGATCTGGGGTACATAAGTGTATAAGAATTTATGGCCTAGTTAAAAAGAGACCGACAATGCACATATGTGCACCGTGACATACTGTGATTGTAGCATCCAGCAATGCGAGCAACAAATGGTCGGAAGCTTTCAGGAGTTTAAGATGGAACTTTATTGGCCAAAGTTTCACCTGCGCAGGGGCGAACTCTCAGGGTGTCCGGAGACATGGTGCCAAAATGGCTGCAAATGAGAGTGGGGCCTGGCGCTTACAGCCTAGGGTTTTTATTGGGGTGAGCAAGCAAGCAAATACAGAAGCAGAGGTAGCTGTTAGCAATTGGCTATCTCGAGAGAACACACATGGCTATGTTCTCTGCTTGCAACAATGGATACTTTTCTGCAAAGACAAGGTCATGCACAAGGCGGTTTATCTTGTTCAGCACTCTTTGTATTTTCTGTACTTTCTATCTTCCTTGCTGAGACAGTCTGGAGCCTGCCTTGGGTGTCTCTTGGCTACTTTTATCTAATTCCGGGCCTAACATGATAAGTACTATGAAGTTGTAGTGTAAGGGAATATTCTTTCAGTAAAAGTTAAGAGGAAAGCAATTTAACTGGGGGGGAGGGGTAGTCCTGGAAGGCTGTTCTGACGAATTTATATTTAATCTGAGGACTGACAGATGAGTCAAATTAATTAGGGGGAAATGGGGATTATCTCCTAAAATGTGAGCTCTGTATATGATTTGGGGTAAATGAAATGTACATGACATTAAATAACATTGAAAAGCCCAGTGGAAAAGTTCCGTTTCAAACCGAAAGAAGGTTTATTTGAGACTGGTATGTATTTAACATTTTCCTAACATTTTCATTTCTCCCTTTTTAATAGAATGAAGGCTTTACTTTCCAAATCTCTCCGAAGGTAACCACAGCTACAGTTAGATAACACTATTTTGTCTTAGGGTCTGTGTGCGTTTGCAAAAATTCTTCATTTCTATTACGCAATGCTGGTTTTCCACTTAAGCAATGAGGTAAATTTTCCTTTGTAGATGTAAGTAACAACAGTCTATTTGAAGGGAGAAAAAACCCAGAAAATGATTTATTTAAATATACACAGTATAGGGGGTATGTAGATATCACAACAATGGTGATGTTGTACAGATGACTAGTGTAGGGGAATATTTACTTGAGAATGTAAGAACCTGTATAGTTTGGAATCCTGTGATATTTAGGTTGGAAGAAGCCTTAGAAATATACTTGGATCCCTTCTTTTACGGAAATGGGAAAAAGCTTGTCCTGGCTGGTGTGGCTCAACTGGTTGGGCATCCTCCGAAGAGTGAAAGGTCACCGCCCGTTGGACTCAGGGCACCTGCCTGGGCTGTGGGTTTGTCCTGATAGGGGCCTCAGCAAGAGACAACTGATAGATGTGTCTCTCCCACTTTAAAGTTTTCTTTTTTTCTCCTTTCCTTCCTCTTCACCTAAAAATAAATAAAATCTTTTAAAAGAGAAAAAGACCCAGTGTTAAATGGTTTGCCCAAGGCCACAGAAAGGGTTGATGGCAAAGGGAGGAGAATTACTCAAGCTTTTCTAATTCCTGCCTCAGTGTATCTACCCTCCTACCCCCAAATGCCTGCCCAAATCAAGTTGCTTCAGGACCACTAAACCTTCCAGGTAACTCTTAAAGCCCTGTAATCAAAAAGATTTATTTAGCTTGTTCATTAAGGGAGAACTTATCTTGGTAAGAGGAACTTGGAAAGAGCTTATTATTAGGACTTGGGTTTGTGCTGTGTATCGCCAAGGATAGGGCAGGGAAGTAGGGAATTGTTTTGAATTGGACACAGTCAAGAAGCAGCAACAAATTAATGTTTAGGTATCTTAATTTTTATCCAGGAGGTAGGAAGATGAAATAAAGCAGGGCCAGAATTGAAAAAGAAGCAGGACCCACTCATGTTAAGTCAGAAGAGGAGGATGTTGAATCATGAGTCTCTTCTTTGTTCCAACTGCAGAGTGACCTTGCCTACCATTTGTTTACATTCTGTGCACTGTTTATGTTCAGTGAGGAACATAGGGTCAAGCCAGCTGCTGAAGAGCTTTTCATCTTCTGACCTGCAGGCATTAGTCCTCCCAAATGTGGGATCCTGCGGATCTGTGGGTTTAACACTACGTGTTTACATGTGCCTCCTCTAGCTGGCCAAGTTAGGGAAAAGGCTGAGATCCTCTACTCCAATTTTCCACCTATTGCAAGAACCCCTCAGCACCATCTCCTCTAGGATAGGGGCCCACCGTCACCTTGAGCAGGCCCTCCCATACTTACAGTCGATTGTCAAAACTGGGTGGCTTATTTATTTTTTCCTCTGTAGGGAGGAATATTTTTCTTCTAATCTCTTAGGTTCAGTGACTAGGCTGGCTGGAGACGGAGCCTTTTATACCAGTTGGCCAAGGCTGGTAAAATTTAAATTTGTAGAGAAGTGCTAAGACAATAAGAAGTGGTCTAGGTTTTATATTTTTTTTTGGGGGGGGGGGGGCTGCGGGAAGGTAGATACATGGCAGAAATTAATTGTTTAAAAAATATTGTTTTAGCAAGATTTGTTCTGTCAGTTTCCTCTCATTGATAAGAGTCTAGGGTTAGCTCCTGTGATTATCCTGCGGGGAGGGAGGGAGCAGGGAACACCTAAACAAAGGGAAATTTACAGGGTGAGGGCAGAGTCCTTGTGTCTACTTCTCAATTGCCTGCAACTCAAAATTACCCTTACAAAGTGGCATATTTTGAGGTGGCATATTCTGATCCCTTACACTCCTATAAATTGTTTGGAAAAGATAATGCATGCACTTGGCTTTTTAAAAAATATTTAATTTATTTATTTCTAGAGAGAAGGGAAGGGAGAGAGAGAAGGAGAAACATCACTGTGTGGTTGCCTCCCATGTGTCCCCCATTGGGGAGTAGGCATATGTCCTGGTTGGGAACCAAACCGGCGACCCTCTGCTGCACAGGCCCGTGCTCAATCCACTGAGCTACACCAGCCAGGGCTGTACTTGGCTTTTTAAAATACTGCAAAAAAAAAAACAAAACCCCACAACACAGTGAAAATGCATTATTTTAAAACCCCCTACTTCCCAAATCTCTTTCCAGAATTCACATATGCATATGCAAGCATTTTATATAATATATATATATATTATATATATATATATATATTATATATCGCCCCCCTTTTACAGGTCTGCAACTAACTTGATCTACATCTTAATTAACTCATTGTATGGAAGCACCATAATTTACTCAATCCCCTACTAATGGACATTTAGGTTGGTCTTAAGCGTTTTGCTTTTACAAACAACAGAGCAATGAATATCTTTTAGGGTTGTGTTCCAGTGTTATCTGCCAGATTATTCCAAGAAGCGCAATTTCTGGTCACAAACGAAATTATTTCCCATATTGAAATGAAATGTGGTGCTCTAATTGTTGCCTTGAGCCCAAAGAAGTAAGCTATTCTTTGCCACACCACCGCTCCAGAGATTAAAGAAAGAGGCATCTGCCATCCCTCCCACGACAGTTTTCACGTCTTTAAATATTCCCAGTCTAACAAACTCCTGCCGCCCCGTCCTCTCCCCGAATGGTCTCCCTCACCCATTACAGAGAGAGAAATCGAGGCACAGGCAGGGCCCGACCTCAAGTCCTCCCCCGGCCTTGCAGTCTCCTTTTCCCTAGCATTCCCTTCCTCTCCCTTTCCTCGAGGCCACGCTCCAGGACGCCAAACCCGCGGGTCCCACACTGTGTGCGGACTGCAGCCCCTTCCCCTCCGCCTCCGCCGCCCGCTCAGGGGCCTCGGAAAGACCCGCGAACCCTCCTGGTCCCCTCCGAGCCGCCGTAGCGGGAGCTGCGGGAGTTCAGGCGCTCCGGTCGCCAAGGAAACGGGCTCGGCAAGCGCTGTGGACGCCCAGCAGCCCCGGGGAGGCGCTGCGGGACCGGCGGCTGGGCTCGGCGAGGCGGCGGGGCGGCGGGACGGCAGGTGAGCTGGGGCAGAGTGGGCATTCGCGGCCAAACGAGGCACTCCGGTGTCAACTCCTTGAAGCGGGCGAGGGGCTGGGCGGCGGGGGACCCCCGGGAAGGAGACGGGCGGCGGGACCATTGTGCCCGTAGCTGCGCCGGGGCGGCGTCCCCACGTGCCCTTTAACCCTGCTAGGCGCTGGCTTGGAGTGCGTGTTAGGCTGTTCCATTATATTTGGGGGCCCTGATCCCGAAAGTTTCTTTACAACGGCAAAGCCCTTATTTAGGGGCCGGAGAATAACTCAAAACTGCAGAAAATGTCTTGTCTGCCTGCCTATATGACTCTTCTGGGGCCACAGAAGATTGACTTTGACCTCTTTGTGTATCAGTTTTCGTGTCTGTGAAATGGGGATGATGATAGCACTTGTCTTACAAGGCTAATAGAAAGTACATTTATATGTAAAACTCTTGCAGATAAGTCCTCAATACTTGGGAGCTTTTATTATTACTACTGCAGGTTTTTCTAGTTTAATTGCTCCTGGCTTTATTGCACTCCTCAGGTGTTGCACTTTTTACAAATTACTAAAAGCAAGACCCTCCACCAGCAAAAACATTACACCTGGCCTTATTGCAATACTTGTTTTGTTGCTGTGGTCTAGAATCCAATTTGCAACACCTGGGAGGTGGACTTGTCCTAACAAGGAGGCCCGACATGGGGCATGTTTGTGTGCCAGGGCCTGGGCCGGTTGCCACAGGCCGAAGAGTGAGGCATCTTGTCCTCGGGGAATGCCAGTTTTACAGCATAACTAGGAATTCCT